TACATGACTTGGGAATTTACTTATTATAGTTTCAGTTGTATTCTCTAGGATAGGTTGTGAATGTTCCTTTTTATGTTATAACTTTACTTGACTTGGGAATTTACTTATTACAGTTTCAGTTGTATTCTCTATGCTGGGTTGTGAATATTCCTTTCTTGTTATAACTTTACTTGACTTGGGAATTTACTTATTACAGTTTCAGTTGTATTCTCTATGATGGGTTGTGAATATTCCTTTCTTGTTATAACTTTACACGACTTGGTAATTCACTTGCCACAGCCTTTGTTTTTTGAACTGAATGTCTCATAATAGGTCTTGGTTCAATTATTTTGTTTTCAATTATTTTAAAATCTAATCTTCAAGCATGTAATTAGCTCGAACCCTGGTGACAACTAATTTCAGGAAAGTGTTATTTGGACATAGGATAGTTTGGGTTTCATAGAAGAAATAAAAGTATCTACATATACATATATGTGTGTGTCATATTTCTCAGGTATAATTTGGATTTGAAACAAGAACGGGAAAGAAAAGACAAAATGAGCCCTGTTTCTAATTATATTTTTTGTTATTGAAGAGGTTTTTTCACACTGTATGCATCAGAATAAGATATGTTTTTTTTTCAAAATTATTATCATAAGTTATACAATAAACGAATAAGATCAAAACTTTCTGAAATTCATCTATTAACTTCTGAGTATCATCATTAACACACACAACAGATAAAAAAAGAGGATAAGATATAATGATTTTTTTGTATTTTTTATTTGAGACTATAAACCCATTAATAATGGGCGGAAAATGAGGAACTTATTGAATGAGATGAAATGTTGTACACGTATTAAGTTATCATGTTTCTAAGCTTTAAACAAAGGATTGCACTTTAATGGTATTTTAAAATGGTATTTCACATTGTAGATGCATTTTTATTCATTTTTCGAGAATCTCTATATTTTCTATATTACAAAAAGCAGCTGTCAGTGTTATACAACTTGAATTAGAAAGACATTATATTGAAGTATGTCA